GTGAATTAACCCACCAAATTTATAATTCCAAGTTCCATTCCTCATGTTCTATAAGAACTCAGTGCTAAGAACACAGTTTTTATTCCTAGGCTCTTAGCCCTCTCATTCCTTCTTAATCCTGTTGGGAGAAAATTCTCCAAGGGTCTCTTGTATTTCTGTACATCTTGTGATCAGAGGCACTGGCTGCCTTTGTTACTATCTTTTCAATGATGTTTGTATAGCAAACAGCTTTGGAAAACAGTGCCTTCCTCTGAGCAAGAGCAGGTATGTTATTGTCCACTGAGTTCCCTAAGCTCAGGATTCCATCCCTGGAATATAACCCTCTGTGTGTGCAGGTGTCATCTGGTCCTCTGCTTGTTGCCCTGTGGAACTGGGGCTCAGAGAACTGACAGAGGGTGCTAGTCCCACTGCTGTGAGCAATAAATTGTCCTTTGTCTCTGACCCAGGAGTCTCGTGTCTTCTGCCAGCATAGATGAAACTGTAGCAGGCTAACTTGTTAGCTTGTAAGTAAGGTCAAATCTCAGACCTTTCACAGTTCTTCACATCTATTTCTAGGGAAGAAGCTTGGGAATAGAATGGCAGAAACTTTCGCTCTCCTTGAAAACTAAGTGGTAAAAGTAACTGTGGCTCATTCCTCAGTGAGTGATAGAACACCCTTATCCAGGTACCTGAGAGCCTAAAAGGCATGTATTTATGTACCCATTTTATCTATCCTATGAGCCTATCTGCTTCTAGGTAGCAGGGTTTGTAATTTAGTTATACCTCAACTAAGTCCACAAAATTAATCCATATAATAAAAGTTAAAAAAAGAAAGAAAACATGACAACGGACTATGTAAACTAGAAAAGAAAATCATGATCAGTTGATCAGAGTTTGTGTATAATGAATCTTGTAAACTGAATATCTAGCACTTAGTTCCATTTATTTCTTATAAATCACGTTAAGTATGCATTTATTGAAGGATCAAAAGAAAAGCTATCTCCCAGTACTTCCACCAAACTTGGGCCTTCTTCTCATAAGTGCTCTGAATCTTTAAGAGCATTTTTCAAAGTTAGCATGTCTAACACCTGTTTTGTAAAAGAACTGTCTTTTACAAAACACCAGCTTAAAGCTGTGTCAGAGGTGAGTTTCTTCAATATTCAAAAAACTATTAAATGGTTTCTGAGCATAGACAAAGATGGAATAGTTCCAATTCTTTTTATAAACATAGCCTTGATCCTCAAGTCCGATCACAAGAATATAAAACCATTGCTGAATCTCACTTATAAAAAAAATTTTTTTTAACTAAAAATATGAGCTTCACTGTTTCATTGCCTATTGTCAACTCAAGAGCATATAACATAAAAGAGATTTATTTTTCTCCACTTTCACTCTGATCATTTTTGGTTATTAAAAGTCCGCCTAATTTAGTATTTTGGCCCCAGGTACCAGTTGAGGTTTGCCTTTCCCCCTTACAAGCCAGTCTAGGACACTGGAGGAGCTGAAATGGAAAAGAGGTATGGCCAGCAATTTGATTCTTCCATCCCCTACCTATGAGTGGGAGGTGCACGTGGTCTTCCTCCAGCACACCTCCTCCTCTTCCCTCTTCTAATCTCTTTTTCCTCTGGTATGGGAATAGTGATGTGCTAAAGCCAGTGTGGTGATGGATATTAACTAAACGTATTGTGGTAATAATTTTACAATATATACATATATCAAATCATTGGTTGTACACCTAAAACTAATACAATGTTATATGTCAAGTATATCTCAATTAAAAAAAAAAAAAGCTTTTCCTGCGTGCCCACTATGTAGTAAACACCATATTAGACATTTGGAGGGAGGGTAGGGTAGGAGACAGTGTTTGCCCCAAGGGAGGAGGACCCTCAGAAGTTCTATATTAGACATAGTGCTTGCCCTCAAGAAATTACAATCCTTACAATTGCAAGAAGTTAAAAAAAAAAAGAACCTAGCTCTTTAACAGGGCACATGTGAGATTTCCTCAGGGGGACTATTCCCCAACCAAGGAGAACCTCCTTCAGCTACGCCTCTTCAAATTCCCCCTCAGCTCCTATGCTCTCCAGGATATTCCACAACTACTTCTGCTAAGGATCCCTAGCCTGGCAGTTAGCAATCTGGGTGGAGTACCAGCAAAATGGCCCAAGCCTAGTTATCACCTGTGTCCATTTGGCCTCCCCAGAAACTCAAGCATCCTTGCCATGCCAAACAGCAGGATACAGCGTGCTTTACTTTCACCCGCTCACCTCACCCTCTCCAAATCTCTTTTCAGATAGCTAGACAAGGGGCAGATCAGCAAGTGTGCTAACAGATGTGCCACTGAGGAATGCGATGGCAGACCCCATCTTTTGTAGGCACCAGTCTTTACGAGCGATTCCTGAGCTTGGTGGAGAAAGCATCCCTGCCCCCTCCCACACTGAGAGGAGAGAGAAAAGCCACAGCAGACCCTCTGCAGTCAATGATACAATTCTGATATTTTTCTCCCCAACCCCCACTAGAGTTTTCTACTATTTGGGAGCATGGGGGAATGTATAACCACAAATATTAGTGGATCTTTGTAGGATACAGGGTATTGCTCCTTTTTACTCAGCTGTAGAGTAAGAAGTCACCTGGTCACCAATTCTAAGATAGCGGATAAGCGCCAATCAGTGACTTACTATATTAAGAAAATGGAATCCAACACTGTATTAGATAAATGTTACTCCACTATGACTAAGTGGAGTAAATTTCAGGAATAATAGAAAGTACCACTCATTGACTTCTTACTATGTCCCAGATATTTTGCTAAGCAATTTCTAAACTTTATTTTACAGAATTCCCCATGAAATAGATATTACCCTCATTTGGCATATGAGGGACTGAGATTCAGAGAAATTCAACATTCTGCAGAAGTTCACATAGAGTCAAGAATCAAAGTCAGGTCTGACTCCAAAGCCCCTGCTCTTTGGTTCACCATAAAGAAATCGTATCCGAACAGCTCTATATATTTTGCAAATGTATTTGAAAAAATACCTCAGTAAGACAAGGTTAAAAAATTATCTCCTTAACAAGACTATGTAGCCAACATCGTCCTTAGAGTGGAAACTTTGACACATTCCCATTTAAATTAGAAACAGAAGGATGCCCATTCTCGCTAGTATACTACACTCTTCTAGAAGTGCTTGCCAATGATATTAAATAAGAACATAAGATAAAAATTTACATGTTTTGAAAAAAACATATAAATTATGAAGATTAAATGATTGTTTACCGAGAAACCCAAAGAGAATAAACTGAAAATTCATTAGAAATTATAAGATTATAAGATAGTTCAATAAAAATTTACCAAAACAATTCATACAGTCAACAAATATTTATCACACATGTACTATGTGCCAGTCACTGTTCCAGGTACTGGGAATACAAGAGTGAGCAAAACAAAGACTCTGCTCTCAGTTTACATTGTAGGATAAGGTGGGGAGGTAGATAATAAACCAAATAAACAAATGAATATATAACACAAATCCACCAGTGATGAATGCTATGAAGAAAAATATAGTAAATTAAGGGAATTAAGACTGACAGGGAGTACTATTGTAGGATGGGAGGTGGGGGCAGAGAAGACCTCTCTGAAGAGGGAGGAGTGTGAGGGAGTATGCCTGTCAATACCTGGGGGGGAATATCACAGGAAGAGGGAAGAGCACGTGCCAAGGTCCCTAAGTGGGGCCTACATTCCTTTCCTCAAACCAAACAGCCAGAAGACTCACTCTGCTGCCACGTGGAGGTGAGGGGTGAAGGGGGTGCAGGGAGAGGCCTGGGGGAGTATTCGATGTAAGTTCCTCTGCTCAGAAACGTGAGAGCTGGGGGCAAGCTTCTGTGTTGCAGTGAGAATTTTGAATTTTATTTGAGTCTGATAGGAAACAATTGGAGGGAAATGATGATCATATTGTATTTTACAGGTGCCACCATGGTTGCGTTGAGAATAGACTGTTGGGGACAGGAGTGATAGCAGAGAGGACAGACAGAAGGAGGCTAGAGATGTATACAGGTAGCTCAAACGAGAGATGAAGGGGTCCTGGACTAGCGTGGAAGTAATGAGGAAAGAGGTGATTGGATTTAGAGTCTCTTTCTAAGATCCATTGAGATTTGCCGACAGATTGGGAACGGGTGGTGGGAAGAAGAGAAATCAAAGACGACTGCAGAGTTCTTGGTCTAAGCCTCTGGTTGAATGGAGGTGGGGAAGCCTGGGTGAGGAACAGATGGGGAAGGAGGTGGAAGCAAGAATTTGGTTTCGAATATAGGTTTGAGATGCCTATAATACATCTAACCCCAGAAGACAGGTAGCAGTTGGATATATCAATGTGGAGCTCAGGGAAGAGTTAGTGGTCTAGACTATAACTCTGGGGACATCAGGCTATAGATAATATTTAAAGATGTGGGACTGGGTGATATCAACTAAGGGTTGAGTGTCTGAGGACTGAGGACTGAGTCATGGGTTACTCCAGCATTTAGAGCTCAAAAATATCATGAATTATATAATACCATTAACTTTCTTACATACCACCAATAGTCAGTTAAAGCATTTAGTGGAGAAAAATTCCTGTTTACAATAAATAAATGCTGTGACCCAATCTGGTATACTATTCTTGTATCTGAACTGACCCTAACTGCCCATCCCACCACTTTGACTCAGGTCTGGCAACATCCCCAATATCTCATTTAATGATTTTCCAGCATATTTTTCTAAAAGGGTTAACCAGCTTGTGAACGATGGTTTCCTAGAGTGCCCTCAATCCTATGACAATAGCAGTTTCCTGTATCTCTCTACTTCAAGTGATTATCACTAATATTTTCAGCTCCTGCTTAATCAGTCCCAATCATTTACACTTTTTACTGTAATACTATTAATACAACATCTAAATCTATGTAACTGGGACTTCACCACATTTCTCCAAATTTATTTTTTAGATTAGTTTTGTAAATTTTCTAATTATTTTTATTTAGGTTAATTTTATTTCTTGCAGGTGTGTCTCCTTCAAAAACGAGCCTGAACCTAGAAAGAGTGATTTTGAAAAGTTAAATGTAAGACCACATTTTTTACCAACAAATATAAAAAATCAAGAAAGCGAGTCAATAGGTAATGCTTTATGTAACATATTTACTTTTCCTTTGGTTTATTAATAAGTTCTTTTATTATATACTTTATTATTCATTAATGTGTATCTTAAAAGTTTTTGATAACTTGATGTCTCTGTTGAAAGCATTTGAATGAAGTAGATGTGTTATAACTGCGGTGTCAAAGATTTCAGTGAACTATAAAGAAGAATTTCCTAAGAGGAAGAGATGTTAAATATCAGAATGGACAATTTATACAATTCACAAATTAAGAACGTATTTTTATGTTTATTTTTCTGGAAAGAAAATATCTGAGTTTCCTTTCAGCTCAACCCTAAGAGTTTCCTTGTTATTGTTTAAAAAAATCAATCAAGTATAGACATCTTGCTTAGTAGAAACTTACTTTACAAGATTAGAAACTTTAGGAATCTGTTAGCTGGGAACCAGCATTATAGGTCCTCAGAGAATTTGAGTGTTTTGTGTTGCCTTTGTGTTTCTTTCTCTGGCATTATCAAAAAACTGTTCAATTACATCATTCTCATCAACCTGCTTAACTGAGGCTCCTTGATTCCACATTGCCCCATATCGCCTCTTCTCTCTGTTATTCTTCATAATCTAACTTCTCAAAAGATTTGTTTACATACACTGTCTCTGCTTTCTCAACTTTTGGTTAAACTTCAAGCTACTCCAATCTGATTTCTGTCTCTCCATCATTCTGCCGAAGTTACACTGATCAAGAGCGCCAGTGAGCTCCATGTTGCTAAATCCAAAAGATACTTTTGTTTCCATTTTCTTCCACCTCTCAAAACTGGTTGATCAAGCCCCCTTTCTTAAAACTCTCCTCTTTGGGATTTTGGGACCCATATCTCCTGTTTTCCTGATATCTCCCTCCTTCTCAGTCTCTCTTCTTAATTTCTCTTCTCCACCCTTAAAATACTATATTTGCTCAGAGCTCAATCCTGAGCCTGCCTCTATTTCTACACTCTTTCTTTGGGTAATCTTATCCAAACTATGGTTTAAAATACCATAGCGGGGCCAGCCCAGTGGCGCAAGCGGTTAAGTGCACGCGATCTGCTGCTGCAGCCCAGGGTTTGCAGGTTCAGATCCCTGGCGCACACCGACGCACCGCTTGGCAAGCCATGCTGTGGCGGCATCCCGTATAAGTGGAGGAAGATGGGCACGGATGTTAGCCCAGGGCCAGTCTTCCTCAGCAAAAAGAGGAGGATTGGTAGATGTTAGCACAGGGCTGATCTTCCTCACACAAAAAAATAATAAAATAAAATAAAATACCATAGAGATGCTATTAAATCCTTCATTTATATCTCAATCCAGAATATCCTCTGAACATCAGAAGACTATACTAAGCTGCCTATTTGATAGCTCCACTTAAACTTCTCACAGACATCTTAAACTGAATGTCCAGAACTGGACTTATGATTCCCTATCCCAACCATCTGTCTCAAACTTTCTTTCCACTCCCCCATCCACAATATCCCTGCCTCGGTACATTGGGCTACTTTGCCAAGTGGCTCAAGCCTGAAACCTAGAAGCCATCCTTGATCTTCTCTTTCTCTCATTCCAGAAGTCCAGTCTATCAGCAAGTCCTTTCCCTTCTAACTCATCTTAAATTAATCTATTTTCACCATTTCTGCTGCCACCATTTTAATCCAAATAATCATCATCTGTTGTCTATACAGCTACGGGAGCTTGCCAACAAGCATTTCTCGTTTCATTCTTGCCCTCTTTCTAGTCAATTTCCTTCTTGTTAAACCATTTTAAATTATAAAATAACATACACAACAAAAAGTGAATATAGCATAAAAATGTACAGTATAATAACCAATTATAAAAAATACATACCTGTATAACCACAATGCAGGTCAAGAAGTAAAACATTGCCAACAACTCCTTGACTTTTTCCAAATCACTTCTCCCTCCCTTGTCCCTAGAGGTTACTACTATCCTGACTTCTGTGGTAATCACTTCCTTACTTTTCCTTAAATTTTTACCATCTGTTGTATGCATCTCTAAAGAATATAATTTAGTTTGCCCATTTTTTGACTTTATATAAGTGTAGTCGTCCTGTGTGTGTTCATTTGTATTTTGCTTTTTTCTTAGCATTGTTTGTAACGTTCACTCATAATATGTGGAGGTGTAGTTCTTTCATTTTCATTGCTGTAAGGTATTTCATTGCATGAATATATCACAATTTATCCATTCTATTGTGGAAATTTTGGGTTTTCAATTTTTCAGCCATGACAATGCCAGAGTCAGCTTTCTTGTTTATGCATCCTGCTGCATATGTGTAAAAGTTTCTTGAGAGTGTATATCCAGGATTTATATTACTAAAAGTATACTTATCTTTAACTAGAATAGATAATGGCAAACTTTCCAAAGTGTTTGTACCAATTTACACTCCCATCAGATTTGTGAGAGTTCTGCTTTCTTGCTAACACTTGGAATTGCCAATTTTTAATTTTAGCAATCTACTGAGTATGTAAAAGTATATTGTTATGGTTTAATTTTGCATTTCTGTAATTACTAGTGAGTTTGAGAACTTTTTCATAAGACTGTTGACCAATTGAATTTACACTTTGGGAGGTCATCCAAGTTTTAGCTCATTTTAAAATTAGATTTTTGTCCTTTTCTCATTTGATTTCTTTATATATTCTGGTTATTAGTTCTTTGTTGGTTTTATGTGTTGTATCTTCTCCTTTTCTGTGGATTTTCTTTTCACTCTCTTTATGGTGTCTTTTTGATGAACAGAAATTCTTTCACTTTAATAAAGTCAAATAAACCAAATCTTTCACCCATTTGATTAGTACTTTTTGTACCATATCTAAGAAATCTTTCCCTACTATGTGGTCATGAAGATCTTCTCCTATTTATTTTGCAGAATATTTTAGTTCTTCTTTTTACATTTAGGTTTAAAATCTACCTGGAATTAAATTTTGAGTGAGATAATGGTCCAACCTAATTTTTTTCATGTGTCTATCCAGCTATCTCAGCATGATAGTAATGCCCTGGACTTGTTGTTCTGGGGTTCTTATTCTGTTTCATTATATTCTTTGTCTATTTCTCCATCAATACCACACAACATTAATTTCTGCAGCTTAAAATAACCCTTGATATCTGATAGAGTAAGTCATACAACCTTGTTCTTCATGAGTATCATGGCTCTTTTCTATTTTCCATTATGATTTCTTCTTTGACTCATTGGCTATTTAGAAGTATATGACTTAATTCAAAGTATATGAGGCTTTTCTAATTATCTTTTGGTTATTGCTTTTTAGCTCAATTAAATTCTGGTTTGGGGATACACTCTATATGATTTCAGTCCTATGTGATTAGTTAACACTTGCATTATCACCCGGTATATGGTCAATTGTTGTAAATGCCCTGTATGTGCTTGAAAATAATGTATATTAATGCAGTTGTTGGGTGCAGTGTTCTATATATTTCTTTTAAGTCAAATTTGTTCATTATGTTTTTCAACTCTTCTCTATCCTCACCGATTTTTCTGCTTGCTTGTTCTGTCAATTCCTGAAAAAATTTGGACATTTATTTTTCTTTGTAGTGTTGTCAAATATTGCTTTATGGATTTTTAATATAGTTTAGGCCATGTTATTAATTACATAAAAATTTAGAATTATTCTATATTTCTAGTAAATTGAACCATTTTTTCGTTATGAAGTAATTGTCTTGTAGCCAATGTTACTATAGTTATCCTCACTTTATTTTAGTTAACACTTTCATAGTGTATCTTTTTCCACCATTTTATTACCACCTTTCTGTAACGTTATGATCTAGATTTATATCTTATAATCATCACATTGTTAGATTTTTAAATCTACTCTGATAATCTTTGTCTTTGAAATGGAGCATTTAGTCCATTTATATTTAATGTAATTACTGGTATCTTTGGATTTAAACCTGCCATTTTATTTTGTTCTTTCTATTTGTCCTGTTGATTTTATGCTACTTTTGCTGTCTTCTCATGTCTTCTTTAGGACCAAGTTTTTAAAATTTCACTTTTCCCCTTTACAAATTTGGATGTTATGTACTTTGTTTCTTTAAAAGATTACCCTAGAAATTACAATATGCATCCTTTCAAAATTTAATATTACCCTCCTTCCGGACAATAAAAGGATCTTAGAACACTTTAATTATTATTTTACTGCCATACTGAGTTTTATATTGTTACTAAAGTCCAAAGTCTCATCTAAATTTCATCTAAATCAGATATGGGTGAGACTCAAGGTATGGTTTATCCTGAGGCAAAATTCCTCTCCAGCTGTGAACCTGTGAAACCAAACCAATTATGTGCCTCCAAAATACAAAAAGGAGACAGGCACAGGATAGACATTCCCATTCCAAAAGGGGAAAATAGGAAAGAAGGAAGGAGTGATGGGTTGCAAGCAAGTCTAAAACCTAGTAAGGCAAACTTCATGAGATCTTAATGCTTGAGAATAATCCTCTTTGCCTTGACACTCTGCCTTCCTATCCACTTGGGCAGTGGTCATGCCCCCACAGTTCTTCCAGGTGGGGGTCTCACTTTCCCCTTCAGGACTCTGCTAGGCAGGGATCCTATCCCCAGGGCTCTGACTGGTAGAGGTCGTGCCCCCAAGGCTCCAGGCTGCCCCATCCATAAGGCTTTGGGTGGAGGTTGTTTGGCCTGTTGAAACTGAGGTAATGCCTTCCACTTCTGAAACTGAGGCAGCCCTGATGATCTCTGAATTGCCTTCACAGTCATTCTTCCCTTGTCTTGAAAAATAGCACATGTTTGCAGCAAATAGCTCTATGATCCCATTCTGTAAATTCCAAGAAGTCCAAGAGCCTTCCTTCATTTTCTCCCATCTCCATCCTCTTCTGTTCAAACTGGCAGTTTGAACCCCAGTCTCTGCTGGGGCGTCTGATTAGATCCCTGGTTCACATCTGTACCAATCTTCTTATCAAATGGCCAATCCACCACACTCTTAGCGTTCTCATTTGAACATGCTTTCTCACATTCTGTAATATAGACAGTCTGAGAATTTTTCAAATCTTAAGTTCTGGTTCCTTTTTGCTTAACAATTCTGGCTCCAATTCATTTCTTAGTTCTCACATTTTACTACTGGCTGTCAGAAGGAACCAAGCTGCTCCTTCAATACTGCTTAGAAATCTCAGTGAAATATCCAATTTCATCTCTAGAAAGTTCTACTTCCACAAAAGACTAGAACACAATTCAGCCAAGTTCTTTGCCCCATTAATGTCATCATGGGGGCTCCACCCCCAGGACCTCATCTAAACCTAATTACCTCCCAAAGGCCCCACCTCCAAATACCATCACATTGAGGATTAGGATATGAATTTTGGGGATGGGGGTGGGACAGAAACCTCCAGTTTACAGCAACTACTCTATCTAAATTATACCTCCTTCTATTGTTCTCCCTCACCAAAATCTATTTATTTCTGTCACAGCATGTATCTCAATTTATAATTATTCACTCCTTTGTTTCTTTATTTATTTTATGCATTACCCACAAAAACATATGCATTATTGGGCAGGAATCACAATTCCAGAGTCTAATACCAGTGCCTAGCATATAGTAGGTTATCAATAAATAACGGTTGATTGAATGAACACAAGACACCTTATTAAGTTCGTTACATCTATAATCTCATTTAATCCTTACAGCATCCCTATCAGATAAGTACTATTATTTTCACTTAACAGATGAGGAAATTTAGCCTCAGAGAGGGTAAATAACTTTCCTAAGGCTGCATAAGTCAAACGGAAAAAGTAGGTTTTGGTCTCAAGCTATCTAAATCCAAAGTCCGTATGCTTGACCCTACCCTATACTTACCTTAAGAAAATCCATTAAATGATAATCCAGATTAATAAAGCTTAAAATTGGAGATGCAAGGATTCAGGTTAGGAGAATATTTCTCTTTTCAAAGGAATAAATGAAAAGATTTCTTTGATTATCAAATATGATTCTATTTTATTTATTTATTTATTTTTTTTCCCCAAAGCCCCCCAGTAGATAGTTGTACGTCATAGTTGCACATTCTTCCAGTTGCTGTATGTGGGACGCAGCCTCAGCATGGCCGGAGAAGCGGTGCGCCAGTGCACGCTCGGATCCGAACCCGGGCCGCCAGCAGCGGAGCGCACTCACCCAACCGCCAAGCCACGGGGCCGGCCCGATTCTATTTTATTTAGAAATCCATTTTTCCCGAGAAGATACACCTTTATTGTATAATAGTAAATAATCAAAATTTATACCTATTAATAGACATTCATTTAAAAAAAGTTTTTTTATTAAGGTAGAAATTCACTTTTGTGTGTGTGTGTGAAGAAGATTAGCCTTGAGCTAACATCTGTGGCCAATCCTCCTCTTTTTTGCTGAGGAAGATTGGCCCTGGGCTAACATTTGTGCCCATCCTCCTCTACTTTATATGGGATGCCACCACATCATGGCTTGACAAGCAGTGCATGGGTCCACGCCAGGGATCTCAACCTGTGAACCCTGGGCCGCTAAAGCGGAGCATGTGAACTTAACCACCATGCCACCAGGCCAGCCCCGAAATTCACTTTTAAAGGAAATTATTCTAGATTTAGAGTTATTCTATATTTATCTCTAAAAATGTAAAAGGAAATGTGTATGTAAAAAAAGCAAATAAGATCATCAAACAATATTTCTAAAAAGTTCACTACGAAATGAGAAAACGGTTTATTGAGTTCAATTAGAAGTAGCCTAATAGTACGGAAATATCATTTATGTTTGGATTTGTTTCTTTAGAGCCAGTAGAAGAAAATCTAAAATCAAGATCTATTACATCTTTTCATTATCTTAAGGATACAGCTAAGGTAAGTTTAATTTGTATGCTTATAATTACTTAGTAGAAACTCAAATTAGCTCTAATAATTTTATATATGCTTCTACAAATCCCAAATTCAAATGGATTTTAGGATTCAGAAAGCATTAAAGTAATTTCATCTCTAACGTTATATAAGACTTTATATATGGGAATAATATAAAAAATAATATATTATTTGTTGGACAGTCTATATAGTAAAAATTATTTGTTGAATATGATAAGGACTAGCAGTTATCATAAAGTCAGTTAAGACAGGGCATCATAAAAAATTATATATGCATAACTTAAATACTTTATTTTAATTAAAAATATGAAAATATACGTCCATTTGTTAATCTTTTGATGTGTAGCCAAGACCAGTTTTTGAGCATGCTATAGTTATTTAAATTATATAATTACAATAACCACCAAAACAGGTTTGGGATTAAGACTATTGACTTTTGATAACCACTTGAGCAGAGGTCCATGGGCATACTGAAAAGTAGCTGAGTGGGCTTGAGTATTGAGCATGCCTGGGATATCATTCAGTTGATTTTATCTGGGAGTCTGGAGGGAGAAATTAATCCAGAGAATCGGGAAAGGAAAGTTTTTTGTTTTGTGTGTGTGAGGAGATCAGCCCTGTGCTAACACCTGCCAATCCTCCTCTTTTTTTTGCTGAGGAAGACTGGCCCTGGGCTAACATCCATGCCATTCTTCCTCCACTTTATATGGGAGGCCGCCACAGCATGGTTTGCCAAGCAGTGCTTCGGTGCACGCCTGGGATCCGAACCAGCGAACCCCGGGCCGCCGCAGCGGAGCGCGCACACCTAACCGCTTCCGCCACCCGGTTGGCCAGGAAAGTTATTTTAAGAGAGTCTTTTAGTTATTAATTAATTTATTATTAACCCTGATTATTGCTAATATGGAGAATAAAAAGTGAAGAAATACATACTTTGGACCATAATTAATAAGATGTTTTGATTTTTGTTGCATATTCCTGCCTTTTATAATTTTAAAAAATATTGACAGGATCCACAGTCCAGGTTATTAGTTTATCCTCATCCACATGGTTTATTTAGGTTCATGTTTAATAAATCTCCCAAGAAATACATATTGTAACATCACAATAAGTTTACTCATCATAATAAATTTACTAGCATTTTACATAAAACATATAACATTTAAATTTTTAAAAACAAGTTTTAAAACCCCCTTTTTTTTTTTTTTAAAAAAAAAAAAAAAAAATAAATTTTTAAAAACAAATTAAAATATGCCTATGACTTTAGAAATCAAATAATACACAAAAGCTAATAAGAACAGGAAGTCCTTCCATCCCATATTTCCTGTTCTAATTTCCTCTTTTCAGAGGCAACCATGTTTAACCTTTTTGAGTTTCAGTTCTTCTTATAATTAACTCCGTAATTCTAAAGAATGAGCTTCTGCTGCTGTTTTATTTTTTAATTTATCCACTTTAAACATTATCTACTGAATTATTAATAAAAAAAGATTTGAATTAGCTTATTTACACTGCTCTACATCTCACCTATCCCCCTCTTCCTTCTTCTGAATCTTTTGAAAGTTACTTTTTGCTCCTATTGTTAACTTTTGTATCTTGAAATAATATATCTACATATGTTTTTCTTTTCTATCAACTTTCATCACTAACTCCTGATTCCCCTTTATATAAGATGAAGATCTTAGCAGTCTTATCCTTTCCTCCAACTCTCCTCTACACCTTCTTCCCTAGGTCAAGTATATCTTTACTTTTACATTTTTGAGGTCAATGATTATATTCAGCTTTGAAACTCTGATTAAGCTGTTATGTTTTGTCTATAGGTTAATTCTAAAACTCCAAATGCTATAAACAACATTTGTGTTATTATGACATTGTAAATAATCATTCATTGTAGAACAAAGTAATATGTGAGGATTACGTTTCTTCTCAATGGGTATAATGTAAAAACAACAGGCTCTCTTTTCTTATTCTCCCTCAGTTACTCAAAAATAATGCCATATTTTAGTTTCCCTCACATTTAGACCTTGACTGTCTTATAAACTTTTGTGGTTTTTTTCTGGAGTTTCTAGTTGCCTTTCTTTTTTCTTGTGGAGAATAAGAGCAAACATCCATATAGTAATTATATGTGCCAAGCACTGTTCAAATATATATATATACATATATATAATTTACATCCTCAACAACCCAGTGAAGTAAGTACTATTATTACTCATATTTTATAGGTCAGAAAAAACAGGTACAAAGAAGATAAGCAACTTGGCTGAGATCAAATTATAAGTGACAGAACCAGGAAGAACCCAGCAGTCTGATTCACCCTCTTTACCTCTAAGATATGCAGCCTCCCAAAAAGAAACATACAACTTTCTTACTGTATGTGAATATGGTCAAGCTTCCTTACTCTTTCTCTCTATGGAGTGTAATCCATTCCAGTCTTCTTGGAGAAATTGTTCATGGAGCCCAGAGACTTCTTGTTGTAAATTTGATCCATTGCTTTTAAGCCTGCTCTGCAGTTGTTACTGTGTCATTCCACGCCTGGTTTAGTAGCCAGATTCTAGTATCCTATGTCTTCTTATTTCTTCTTGGATTTCATCTTTATTTTCCTAGAATATGTCTTCAAGAAACTTCCCTAGAAATTGTATGTGGATGTCTGGGAATGTATTTATTTTTCCCATACACTTGATTGATAATTTGGATGAGTAGAATTATAGGTTAAAAATCATATTTTCTCTAAACTTTGAAAAGATTGTTCCACTGTCCTATGCCATTGAATGTTGCTAATGAGAAGTTCTCAGTCTTTTGTAAATGACCTTACTTTTTTATCTGGAAACTTTTAGGATCTTCTCTTTATCAATGTTGTTTTAAAGTATCTTGAGGATATGCCTAAGTGTGGTAATTTTACTTCAATTTATTCTGTTCAGTGCTCAATGGACTCTACCCTAAAGCCAGATATCTTTCTTTAGGTCTAAAAATGTCGTTCTGTTATTTCTTTTCTAATTTCCTTTCCACTATTTTCTCTGTCCTCTAATGGCCAGATATCAGACTTCTTAGATTGATTCTCTATATTTGTTTTCTCTATTTTTGTCTTTTTGAGATTTTGCTCTTTATGATGGGAAATTTCCTTAACATTTTCTCCTGGTCTTTTTACTGCATTTTTATTCAGTAATCATATTTTAAATTTCCAATATTTCTTTCTTCTTCTTGGTAGTTGTTTTTCTCTTTCTATGGAATCCTGTTACATTTGTTCTCAAATTTTTCTGAGGATATTAGAGTTTATTTTCTTACGTTATTTTCTGTTTCTTGAATTATCTGTTTCCTCTGGTATCAGTGTTCCTTTTGTTTATCATGATATGTATCTTTAAAGTTGCTGATTTTTATCATATCTTTTCAGACTTTGCTGTCAAGACTAAGCTAGCTTATAAAAAGTACTGAAAAGTTGTTGTTTACTTTTTAATTTAATTGATATTATATTGTATGAGAATTATTTGTTGCATAAAAGTTTGAAAGAACTTATCCATATGTCTATTTGGGCCTGGTTATTCTTTTAAAGGTAGTTATTTGAAACTTCTTTACATTTCTTCTAAGAATTACCAGTATGCTCAAATTTTCTACTACTTCTCAAGTCAATTTTGGTAATTCTTCTTTATGTTAAAGTTTCTCTGTTTGACTTTCAAGACATCCATAGTCTATGCTGCTCACGGTTCTTCTTCTTAGCTATTTAAGATGGTCTTTTATACTCAATAAATGATAAATGCCCCCCTGCTGTAAATATGCTGTTTTCTTGACTATCTCCTGAATACTCTAGGTTTATGTTCTTGGCCTTTCCTGAAACGCCCTCATCTCCAAATCCTAGCATTAAGTTCTTCCGCATTGATGAAATCTTTCCTGTCTCTTCCAGCCCTCGTTGATATCCCTCTCTTCTAAGCTCCTCCTGATTTATAGATTAGCTTGGTTCTTAGTGATATTACTCCACTACATTATTTACTAATGTTTCGTGTATGCTAATCATATCTATCCAATAAGAATGTGAGCTCTTTATGGCCTAGATTTTTGTCATATGCTTTACTTTTATCTCAGATTAATCAGAACTAAATATATTCTATGCCTAGTGTAAAAAACATTGCAGGTGTTAAACAAATATTTGTTTGGTTTGTTGATGGAGAATCATAAGTTATGCAGTTTATACTTACATCTGCATATATATTTTTTGGATATTTAGATATTTGTATTTAAGCAAAAATATACGGAGCCAATGTGAGACCCTAACCTAGGAGAAGCTCAATCATTTTTTTCAAGTTTCTCTCCCTTTACTCAGAACTATTCTGCTGTACCTCCTCTATGTATGAGACAGTCAAGTTTCTGTTTAAACTGAGAAGGCTTTTTTCCTCAGTATTTGAAGTTTAGACTTTCCTTGCATGGAGAAATAAATCTTATATGAATATAAAGTCTAAGTTTTAAAGACAAAGGAAATAAAAGTTGGTAAGCAGTGTGAGCATAGGCAAATTTTTAAATTTCTGTTGATTTGTTTCCTCATCCATAAGGTGGTAATAACACCCATCTCATAGGGGTTTTTCGAGAATTAAATAAACATTATATTTGAAAGTATTTAAAGAACTAGACATCTGTTAGTTATCATACTACACATTCCAAATGTGAATAATTCAGTATAAATTTTTTATCAATATACACACGGAAAGAAATAATTTCTAAGATAGTTTTCCATTTTTCCTGATGTTTAGGTGGAAAATGCTAAGCCCTTGCATGATCTATATTCACAGCGTAGAAAAACATGTGGAAGAACATTGGGTTCTACAGTCTTTTCTCCTGTACCCAGCATTCAATCTAATGTTTATAAGAAGGAAAAAGACTCTACTTTATCTACAGGTATACATATTGTCTGTTTATATTGAAATAACTGAAAATTACCCACATCTAACTTTAAGATATAAGCATTAAGAAAATCTTTAACCAAGGAACATCACTATCTGATTATATTACCATATTATTTCACTACTTAATAACATCTGAAGACTCTATCACAAAAATGGTAAAGTTCAGATTCCTTAGTATGGTATATAACATCTTTCCAACCTTCTATTTTTTCTGTCTCTTTTTCCGTACTGATTCTAGTCACAATGAACAGTCTGTTCCAAGTACTGTGTGATTTGATCCATTCTGTTCTCTATGCTCAGAACAAACTTCTCCGCCTCATAGATTCCTATTCATCGTTGATAGTTGGGGCACTTTTAGCTGCAATTAAGAGAAAATCTGACTACATGTGTCTTAAACAATAAAGATATTTATAATCTCAAATAACAAGTCCATTAGTAAGGCAGTTCCAGGGTTGGTTAATTCAGGGGTTTAATGATGCCATCAAAATCAGGTTCCTCCATGTTTTCTCAACTTTCCTTAACTGTCTTAGCAAGTAGCTTGTTCTCCTAGCCTTGCTGTACAATATCGTGTCTACTATTCAAGATAACTTGGGTTAATAACATCCGCTGTAAACGAGAAAATCTCTTTGGTCCCTTTGTAAGAATGAGGACAATGTTCCCCAAAGCCCTCCAGCAGAACTCCCATCTGTCTCCTTGGCTAGAATAGCTTCATGCGCCCATATCTAAACCAGTAAATCATTATTGGCTTAGATTAGTTTTCCCAACTTTTAAAATGACCCACAGTAAGAAATACTTTTTATATCTTGATCTAATATATATGTATGGAGTAGAAGATTCAGATTCATGAAACCCTAATTATTTGTCTTTCCCTCTGTTAGTTGAATTTGATTGCAGTATTTTAGTGTTTTGTACAGTTGTTACTAAGGATCCATGTTATGCACTCCATTCTATTCTATTCTATTCTAGTATTTCATTTTTTAAAATGCTGGTCAGGATTAAAATTGATTTAGTGTCTAAATTCATGTGTTGTGACTCACGTTTTGAAACGCACAAGCTTAGATCATTCAAGATTCACTCCCTTGAGTTAGGAAGAAGCCCAGATTCCCTTGAAGGACATGGTTGCTTGGAGGAAAATGAATAAGATAGCAAAAAAAGGGATAAAAGGACTGTTAAGTAGGCAACCCTCTGTTTACCACACTGTCTTTTAAGATTCCACTCAGATATTGTATCTTCTCTGAAGTGTTCCCTTATAGCAGTGGCAGGCTGTTCTACTCTTTTGGCGAAGCAAATTTCCTTTTATAAAATTTCTTGATTCTCTCTACAGAAGAGGCATTATTGTTCTTTTATCAAAGTCCCAAATTTAGACTTCTAGAAAAGGTGAGAACATAGAAACAAGTTTATCTTGGCCAAAATGAATAACAAAAGGAAGAAAAATTCATTAAATTGAAACTAGGACGTTTATCCCAAACTCAAAAAAATCTGCTGCATATTACAATATGAAGTAGTTTGAAAGATGATTCTAGAAGTTGATGTATAATTCCATTTCCTGGAAGAACAGAAGAATATTGAAAGAGCCAGTAGAAGATATTCTGAAAATACTCCTGTTAACCATCACCCCCCCCCCAACACACACACACACACTTAAAGAGAAGGAGTTATCAACGATGGGTCACAGAGAGATGGGAAATCCTCCCCCTTGGATTGCAAGTCAACAGCATTCCAAGTGTGTGTTAGCAGTGTTTTGAGAGAAACCTAATGACCATACCTAGTCATTTCTTTCCCTGGCTCCCTAGTATTGCTTCAGATGGACTCAGGGGAAACCTCCTAACTCAGAGGAGCAAGGTCTTACAAGGAAGGTTGACAACAGAAGAGACAAGGTGCAATTTCCTAGGAACCATCTTTGCAAGTATGAATAACAGCCACAAAGATAACCGTGTAAAGAAAAAAACATATGACCCATCAAACAGCCCAAAGAGCCATAAGCCCTTTCTTTGACTAAATACATTCCCAAACTGAATTGCTTACCCCAAGAGAGAGGGAGAAAACTGGAACCCAAGCGGCACCTCACACATAAACGGACAGAGCATCCACTACCACGTTAGAATCATGAAGAGGTCTCACAAACATACAGTGCACAGAAACACATTTCCCTATGATTGTTCAGGGCTCCAGCTCCCTCACCAGCCTGCTCAGGCAGGTAAGGTAACAACATCTGCATTACAGGTTAATTTCTAAGGGGAGAATTTAACAGTACCCACGTAAACAGGAGAGCATCCATAGAAAATTCACCCCTGTTATTTTTGGACTAATATCAAGCCGAGATTTAAGTGTCCTGATTCAAAGGTGAGTAGGTAGAAAAACAAAAGCAAAACATGAGACCTATCAAAGATTCTGTAGCAAAAAAAAGGAAATAATTTAAAAGATAGCTGATGGTCATGTTTTGACAGAATTTGTACCCCATAAAACAGGAGAAAATTTAGACAATAATCATTTTATGTGCTCAAGAAATTAAAGAAAATAAGGATTCTATGAAATAAGATTTGAAAATATAAAAGGTAATTGTCAAGGATGAAATGGTGCTATCAGAGCTAAAAACATTTTTAAGGAAACAGGAAATGCTAATGCAGAACTTAAAGTTATGTTAAAAGTAGTGAAGAGTGGAATAAATATTGGAGTAAACCAAATCAAAGATCTGCAGAGCGGGTTTAGGAAAGTCACGTAGAAGGCAATGTAAAGGCACAAAAATATGACTAGATTAGACAAGACAGTATATTGAGGGAAGAAAACAGATATCCAACACCAAGATAGCCAGTGTGTTTGAAGGAGAGAACAGAACAAATTGAATGAACTGACTCAAAGGGGGCATGGGAAAACTATCTTGGGATAATGGAAATACTCAACATCTTGGTGAGTATCATGGTGATGCTTACATGAATATATATATTGTCAAAATTCATCCAACTGTACATTTAAAATGAGTGCATTTATTGTATGTAAATTGTACATTAGTAAAGTAAGTTAAAAAGAAAACAAAAGACTAACAATACGAAAGTCTAAAACAACAAAAATGTAATAAATTAAAATAATCTATTGTATATAAAATAATCTACAGAAAATAATTTAATTAGTAATCTAAAGTAATGAGAAAATGGCTTGTATAAATGCAGAAAATATTAATAATATTTCATTTAAAATACAAACTAAGATTAGTTTTTAAATTCTGTGCTCATCATTGTTTCCTGTATCCTGCCATCTGTGTTCGCTTTTATTTTTCCTGAGTGACATCCTTTATTAGTTCTTTCAATGATAATCTGTTGGTTCTTAACTCTTTTTGATCTTTGTGTATCTGAAAGCATCTTTATTTTGCGTCACTGTTGAATGACAGTTTAGTTGATATTGATTTTTAGGTTGCAAATTATTTTCCCTCAGCACTTTAAAGATATAGCTTCATTATCTTCTGGAATCAATTATAGATTAGAATTCTGCTTTTGGTCTAATTGTCATCTCTTTGTGGAATGACAATTAATGCCATTCCTTTACTTTCTGTTAGTTTCAGGAATTTTCATTCTTTATGATCTGCATTTTTAGTACAATTCATCTTGGTGTAGATTTATTCTTATCTCTCATCCTCAATTTGTGAAATACACTTCTGTTAGTTAGAATTATTGGCTATCATCTCTTCAAATATAGATTCTGCACCATTTCCTCTATTTTCTTCTTCCAGAACTATTAGACAAATGTTGAAGTCTTTCAATCTATCTTTCATGTCTTATAGCTGTTCTTTCATATTTTTTATTTATCTCTCTATGCATTCTTAGTGAGTTCCTTGGTGTTTTCTTCCACTTCATTAATTCTCCCTTTGGTTGTGTAAACTAGAATTATATTATTTATTTCCAAGATTTTCAGGTTTTTTTATATTGACTTGTTCTTTTTTTTTTTTTCACTTCAGCCTGTTTTTATCTCACAATATCTTGCTTTTTTCATATGAATAGTTTTTCATTTATGTCTTTGAAGTTCCTAAACATACCATATCTTATCAAATCTAAGATGTTACCAATCACACTGTCAATTAAACTATGACAGAATGCTAATATACACAAGAGAATTGAGATATGGTAAGATTTTTAAAGCTGTTTTTAGATTCTTTTATTTAATTTTTTTTTTTTTTTTTTTTTTTTTGCTGAGGAAGATTTGCCCTGAGCTAACATCTGTTGCCAATCTTCCTCTATTTTGTATGTGGGTTGCTGCCACAGGATGGCCACAGACAAGTGGTGTATGTCCGTGCCTGGGAACCGAACCCAAGCCACCAAAGTGGAGCACGCCAAACTTAACCACTAGGCCATGGGGCCAGCCCCTCTTCTATTTAATTTTATTGCTGAATTTATATTCTATTTCTTGACCTTGTTGACTGTCTTTCTTAGATTTATATTTTTCAATGTGGTTTAGAATTTTAGAAGGTTCTCTCCTCACTCAACACTTATTCGCTTCACTTTACTCCTTCCTTTCTAGAAGTTTTGCAGTTGCTGCCACTCAGACCTCATGGCCTTCAGGCCAAACCATATTTTAGAGTTGTTAATGGGGCTCCTCTGCCGGGGAAATATTGGGAATATGGCAGATCCAGTCATCACGGCTTGGTGTGGTTTGACTTAGTTCCTGGGTCCCAGTTGGCAGTGGGAAGGATGGATTTCCAGTCTTTCTCACAAGACAGGGAATCTCAACCCAGCCTCTGTTTCAAGCAGTGGGCCTGTCTTTCTCCCACTTGCCTTTCCTGTTTCTGTAAATGGCATCTACCCAATTGCTGAGGCCAAAAATCTAGAAATCATCTTTGATTTCTTTTTTTCCCTTATATTCCATATCCAATCCACCAGTCAGTACAGTTGGAACTACCTCCAAAATATGACCTGAAGCCCACTACCTGCTCCGCTACAATCCTTGTCTAATCCACCAACATGTCTTATCTAGACCACAGCAACAATCTTAATTGATTACTCCATTACTACTCTTGGCATCCACACTACCTCCACAGACTGTTCATCTCTGAACAAGCAGAGTGACTTTTCTAAAGAATAAATCAAACTACTTTATTATTCCATTTAAAACTCTCCAATTGATCTCTATTATAACCAGAATAATGTTCTAACTCTTCACTATGGCTTATGTGACCCTATATGACTTGGCTCCTACTGCCTGTTCATCTCTTCTTACCCCATTCTCCCTGTCATTCCCTGCACTCCAGCAGTTCCTTCAGCATTCCAAGCTGGGTTCACGCCGACGGCTTTACACTTGCTGTTTCCTCTGCCTAGTGGGCTGTTCCCCCAGCTCTTCACCTGGCTGCCTCCTTCTCTTTCTCAGATTTCAACTCAAATATCCCCTCCTGAGAGAGACTGTCTATAGCCATCCTAGGTGAAGTACCATGTTTATATTTTTCCATAATACTTACAAGTGGTTGAAATTATTTTAAATATTTGCATGTTGGTTGATTTGCTTGTTTATTGACTATTTCCTCCGTCTAGAACAGAGCTTCCCAACCAGTACACTGTGGTCACCTGTTGTGCTTGGAGGGGGTTATAGGTGTGCTGAAATATTGATCCTTCAGCCTTCAAGACTGCTGGGTTGGCCCTGTGTACACTGTACCTGTAGCCTGGCTACAGGTGTACACAAGTGTTTATCCCAGTGTACCGTACAAAGAATATTAATTAAAATGTTTGCCATGATGTGGAAAAGATTTGGAAGCTCTGCACTAGGATACTAACTACTTGAGGACAAGGAGAAAGCTGAATTCATTACTAGAGACATGTGTGTCCAGGAACACTATTAAGAAAGTAGAGAAATGCTGGAGTGGCCTCCAGGCGTATTTGGAAGAGTTTGACTTTGGACACTTTCTTAAAGCCAGGTGGCAAGATCTGTTTGGCATCTGCTAACTAACCTCCCTCCGTGCAAACAGCGTTTAAACATCTGAGGCTTTCTACTGGCCAATAATGGCTTTATATATTGGAGATTTATGAAAATTTGGGAATGCCTTTATTCTATAAAAATCTCCAAGACCAGTGTTATGTTTGATCTGTCTCAGCCAAACTTTAGATCCTTGATCTCAGTCTTTTCCAGTTCTATCTTGTTCACTTAAGAAGTTTTTACTAGGTAGCTACTACAGATCAGGCACTATACCATGTGCTTTCCATATGTTATTTTACATTGTAAAATATTTTATGCAAGGGATTTTCTAAATGCCATAATATATGTGTGTCTTTTATGAAAATCTTTTATAATTTCAGCTCAAACTGAAAAAACACCTAGGGAATCATTTGATTTGGTTGGTCACTTAGAAGATTATGTAAATAAAAGGTAATATATTTTTAAATTTTTTATATTTTATTCTGTTCAATGATGTTTCTTTTTTTTTTTTTCCAGAAAGCAATTCAACTGTTTCTTTATTTTTATTTTTTATTTTTTTTAAGATTTTATTTATTCAGCTTTTCCCCCCAAAGCCCCAGTAGATAGTTGTATGTCATAGGTTCACATCCTTCTAGTTGCTGTACGTGGGACTCGGCCTCGCGTTGGACGGAGAAGTGGTGCCTCGGGGCGCGCCCGGGATCCGAACCCGGGCCGCCAGCATCAGAGCGCGCGCACTTAACCGCTAAGCCACAGAGCCGGCCCATCAATGATGTTTCTAATAGGAAGAGTTCTGCTTTTATTTTCTAGTAGACCAGAATGAATTTATTCTGGCTTCTTATTACCATTTAGGCTACTAAATCACCATTTAGGTACTAAACCCAATGGCCCATCCAAGAAGCTAGACAGCATCACATTCAGACCATAAGCACATGTTCTATCTGCTACAAGTTTACAGTCAAATGGAGAGAAAGACGTAGAAAAATGAAGGGAGAAAACACAATTGTGTTTTTGTGGTAGAGACACAAATTTAATTTCACTACAACATGGATGTGATCTTTCTCATGAGACCCTCAAATTCTGTGTAATGAAAAAAATCATATTAGTCCAGTGTGTTTTAAGACTTGTCTGGAGCAATACTGTATAGCCTCTTTAGGTTGAACTCAGTCTTTCTATTTCTTTCTAAGATGGTAACTGAGTGTATGAGTGAGGGGCTCACTGGACTTCATGATTGAGGAAAAAGTACTTGACCAAGGATCCTGGTCAATGCCCTGTACTGCTGCTCTCATTCCTAGATGTTCTGTGGCTGCTGACGTTGGTGGTTCATGAACTTATGGTCTATTCTCTCTGAACTTAGATAGGGTCCACTCTCAACTCTCATTAGTATGATAGACCTCTCTGAGTCTCTGTCATGTCTTTCATCTGTCCTTCGAGTGTCCATCACCCATGCCAAGCCTTTACTGTGGGTTCCCTCATACTTTGCAATGGCAAGCCCCTTAACAAGCCTAAACTCAGTATCCATGTCACATGTGAGCCAAGGGAGATCTGGAATGAGAACTATATCCTCTCTCTGCCTAACCACACCATTCCATCCTGTTAACAAAGTTGGGGCCACACTACGTTGGCAAGAAGATGCCCTGCAAAGCATTTGTCTCCCAGCATCTCAATGAAGGCTGTGCTAAATTCCTCTCTGCTTTTGGTGTTCTCTTTCTACATAATACACCTCCTCCCCACTCAAAAACCACACAGGCACACATATTACAGTCTTGCTTCCCTCTCTGCTTTTGCTGTTTCCCCCACAAACCAGGCGGGAAGGGATGGTCTTGCCAGGTTGAAAGTCTGTGGCAGAGGGTTTGGGGGAGATATTGGCAGTGACTGTGAGGAATGGGGGAGGAAGACAAGAACTGACAAGCTGAAATCAGCCCTATAAATATTTACGCTGAATTCGTGTTCATTTTCAGAAGAAAATCTCCTCCGCAGATGAACGATTCTAGTACAGAAGAAAATAAATCCGTCAGAAATTATCAATTAAGTGAGCACTATTTAGTAAGAAAGAAAAGCTTGCTCCCCTTGTGCTTTGAGGATGAATTGCAAAAGCCAAATGCCAAGATAATCAACATTAGTCCAGCAAAGACAGTAACTTCTCACATGGTAATAAGAATATCTACTACTCTTCAGTAAATATGTGTATTATTACTACTTGTGGAAGTCTTATACTCTAGTGACCAGAATCTTTGATAAGTGCTTCCTACCTCTTGGTTTCACATTCCCAAGTGACAACAACACAAATTCTTTTTTTTTTTCTGGTGAGGAAGATTAGCCCTGAGCTAACATCTATTGCCAATCCTCCTCTTTTTGCTGAGGAATAGTGGCCCTGGGCTAATATCTGTGCCCATCTTCCTCTACTTTTTTTTTATATGTGGCACACTTGCCACAGCATGGCTTGCTAAGTGGTGCGTAGGTCTGCGCCTGGGATCTGAACCTGCGAACCCCGGGCCACCAAAGCGGAGCATGCAAACTTAGTCACTACTCCACCAGGCCGGCCCCCAACAACACAAATTCCTAATTTTCTTTTTAGAATCACCACCCCAAAAATGGGGAGTCCTTTGCACCAGCTGAAAATTTTGTTTTTCTTTATGAAGAAGGCTTTTTCAAATTTTCTTGATTATAAAAGAAATATAAAATAAAAAAATTTTTTAAATGACTAGATCATATTTCACTTATCTATCAATCTATTTTAGCTATTTCAACCAGAAAATACGTTTAGTAAAGGCCATTTGGTAGCTCACAGAGTCTCCACGAAGGCTGGAGAGACAATCTGGCTGGTAAGCTATCCAGTCAGAGTTACACAATTACAGCCCCAGACTGCTCCCCTGGGGCCCATGCTGTTCTAGCAGATAACAGTTTACAACTCTGATTCTGGGCTGGGGGCACTATTTCTAAGACCTTTGCCACTGCTGCCCTTCAAAGCTAGGTATATCTACTACCATCCTCACTAGAATAGTTTTCACAATGCCTGCTTTTTCACTTGCTTTTTCTGAACTGAAGACTTTCACAGGCAGAGCCTGTATCTGATTGGCAGAGCTTCGGTCACATGCCTATGCCCTAACCGCAAGGGAGGCTGATACCTCCCCCTGAGGGGACATAGACTAGTAAGTTGGAAAATTCCAGAAGGGGTTGGACAGACCAAAAATGTGACAAACCTCCAGTACTCTGGCTAAGTAGATAACATTGGCATCACCAGCAGACTGCAAAACTAGATCTTTTGTCATCTTTTCCGTAATCATAGGCATTAATATAACTTTCACACTAAGTACACTAATACACAATTAGATGATCTTAGTTTCTTATTTTATTACTTATATTTCTAAAGGAAAAGTAGCAATCATTGACTTAAAGTTTGCAAACTAATTGGTAATATGCATATTTGACTAGTTTCTTTGGAATTAATCCTTTTGCCCTATAATGGAAACATGGGAAAGAGTTTAGTGAGTAACTCATACATACAGATTTTCTACTACTGTGATAAGAGTAGTCTATTTTTAACTCAATCTATTACTTTGGCTATATTTGGCTACAAATATATATTGAGCACCTTTTATGTGCTAAGTGTTGGGGTACAATAATAAATATAATCATTGTAATGATAATTTTATATTTTCTGAATTATTTATTAGGATATCCAGACTTTGAATTTTGGTTTGTAATCAGTTATGTCTCTTATGGTCTTTGACTCAATTCATTTTTTGGTATGCTTCTTATTTCTGGACGTGGAAACCTAAGAAATGCCGGAACAATGTTCCATTCTACCAACTCTCCTATTTCCCAATGACAACACCTCAAATATTTAACAAATATATTTCTTTCTTTATATCCACTTTATTTCAAAAAGGATTTTAGGAGGCCAAAAGCTCAGATTTTGCCTCTAACATCTCAATAGAATATTAAGAAGAGAAGGAAGTGTGTCACATACGAGTATATCTTTTTTGTTTGTTTGAATACCATTATTTTTCACATTAAAAACTTCTATGTAGTCATTTTTAGAATCTTTTATCATTTTATTTTCATGTTTTAAAATACATGTAGCCTTCTTGCCTCTATAGACTGATAACTAAATACTCTTTTCTCTAATCCACAGGAACAAAATGACACAAATCCCATAATTTTCCATGAGACTGGATATGTACAAATGTTACTTTTGACAAAAAATAGGCTTCCTCCCCACCCTATGGAAAATGGAAACATGTACCCATATAAAAGAGCAAATTTTGTTTCAGAAAGAAATCGTGAACTCCTCAAATCTTTAATTAGTTATCAATCTGTTACTCCTTCTAAACCTAAAAGAACTATGCCTACAGCAAGGAGGAAAGATATACAAGCAGCACCTTTTGACGTGGGCCATAGAGTTGCAGACGATAAATCAAGGAAGAAAACTAGTAAGCAGACATTAGAAAACATATCTTGGAATAAACTCTATGATTTCTCACAAACTTTTTCCAGTCTAACAAAAAGATTTGTGGGTTTCCTTGATAGAACTGTTATTCAAGAAATGAATGCTAAAACTGGCAAATTTGAAAGTGTTTTCTACAGTGAAACCAGTGAGCAAATTTAGTGCCTTACCTGTCAAATATTGCTCAAAGCCTTTAAAAAATAAACTCAAAGTCCATAGAGTAAATAATGTAACACCATTGGACGATCTGTTAAACTTGCCAAATGAAAATTAAACACCTCACAAAATATTGTTTATACAGCAATACTTGGGGAGCAAGAAGCAAATAACGGAGTTCCAAGATTATAGAAGAAATTCTTATCTAAATAGTAATGTTCTAATGGATGGTATAAGAAAGCAAAGCATAGAAATTGGAGTTACAAAACAACAGTGGTCTGTTCAAGAGAAGCCAAAATTTTTAGTAAATAAGAGGACAAAATCAGGAAATAATTATCAACAAGAAGAACTAGCTCATGAATTTTTATTATCTCAATTAGATTCCTTGATGATCAGCATTCCTACAGTAAAGTCTGGTTTGGGACCAAGACTGGCATAGACTGAGTCTGGAAATTCGCTATTGGAAGCCAAATAACATCAATACCTTGCTCTATAATTGAATATCAAATAAGACGAATGTACCATTGTATATCTGTATTTTGGATAATCATTGGAAAATTGTGTTACATTAGCAACTCATGCAATTAAAAATTCTTTGTAAAATTTGAAATAGCTTTTTGTTAGTAGATGTTGGAACTTTATTACTATTATAATGCCTTTTCCAAGTACAACTTTGACTTTTTTCTGAATTGTTAAATAATTTAAAATAACTTATCCTTAATAAGCTAAATAATTTTGATATCAAGTCCTATAAAGTATAGAACATTTTAGGTATATTATTATATTGCTATTTTACTGTTTCTCATCAACTTCTCATTGACCCAAATGGCATAAAGGCAGAAGTCAATTTAGAAACAAGTTGCATTTCAAAAGTTCATTTGTAATCTGTTTGTTTAAGGATTTTTTAAAATCCTAACTGTTAGTACTTGAAAGGAAGTAGGTTTAATTAGAAGCATTTCAGTCAGGGGAAGTCCTTGGGGGTGTTTTGGAAACTTTCAAATGTGAGGAGGTGGACTTGTTTAGGTTCCCATTTCCACTCCAGACTCTTCCTCCTTCTCCTTCTTCCTCTTCCTTTTCTTCTTCTCTTCCTCCTTCTCCTCCTCTTCCTCCTCCTTCCCCTTCTCTCACTCCACCTCCTCCTCCTCCTCTTCTTCTCCTTCTTAATGAAAAGGATCCCAAGGTTTTTGTCTTGGGAAAATAGAAAAAGTATAAAATAAACCAAAAGATATTATGAATAGGAAATTAAAAATACTTAAGTAGAAATGAAAATATAGTATTAAAGGATAAAGAAAAGCAAAAGTTATTGTTTTGTGTGTTTGTTTTTAAAATACACTAAAATGGATAAACCCTTCTCAAGCCTGATTTAAGGGAAAGGAGCAAAAAAGGAGTATAAGATTATGAATGAGAAAAGAAACAACCATAGAAATAGGAGAGAATAAAAGAATCATAAGAAATACTACATGCAAATTTATGCCAACAAATTTGAAAGTCTAGAAAAAGGTGGGTGATTTACTATCAAAAGGAAATGATCAAAATTGACCCTTAGGAATGGATATTTTGAATAGACCAATTTCCTAGAAGACAGTGACATGCACCAGGACTAGATGAGTTCATAAATAATTTTTCTCACTTTATTATTAAAGCCAGTGTGGTAAGCAGAATTCCAAAGATGTCTCCCCAAGATTCCTGCCCCTTGTTATTCAATCAAACACTAATCTGGATACTGCTGTGAAAAGACTTTGCTGATGGATTTAAGGTTACTAACCATCTGACCTTAAACTATGGAGATTATTCTGAATTATTGGCGGACCCAATGTAATCACATGATCCATTAAAAGCAGAAGAATGCAGAAGTCAGAGAGACTTGGCAGAAGAGAAGGTGAGAAGGATGGGGTAGAAGTGGAGGTTGGAGACTTTAATTCTAAGGGCAAAATTTTTGAGCACTTGTTTACAATATTTCCGGTTTCTTCCCAATTACCCATTTCATCCCTGCCTTTGCCATGCTTCTGCAGAGTTGGAGCGTATTTCCCTGCCCCACTGACTTGGGCTTGGTCATGTGACTGACTGTAACCAGTAGAATGTGAGCAGACGTGACTCGCATGGCTTAGCTTTGCCCCTCTTGCTCCTGTCCTCCACCACGAGAACAGCAGGCCTCAGGTAGTGGCCACTCCTGGAACCTGGGTGCCAGTATGAGAAGACATTCGGAACCAAGGCCGGGTGAATCCTGCAAAGCCCCGAAGAGCCTCAGCCAACACACAGCCCTCATGTAACATGATCAAGAAATAACTTTTTGATGTTGTAAGTCATTAAGACAATGGAATTGTTTCCACAACAAGGTCTGACTACTTCAATCTCTTTGGGACTTTAATCTTTGAATTTAATTTCTCACAAGCAATTTTATAGAGGGAGAAGTTTTATATTCAAAAGTGCGCATCTCTACGTTGTTAGCATTTTATTATTAGAGTATGTTAACTCATAACAGTACCTCTGATGAATTATACTGGGCAATGGACTGGCTATAATTTGAGATGGGAAATAAGAAATGAAATTTTTATCTTAACACATCATGGTCTTGGAGTTAATTTAATTAACATAATGATGAATGTATATTTTAGAGCCTTCCAGATCAGAATTAAACTATTGACCAACATTCCTAGGATAATCCAAAAATCCACAGTGTTGGCGCAACCTTGTAAAGGTAGGAGCAGGACTTCCCCGGTAGCTGCTAATCTCCTCTCCAGAGAGTGCTAGACACACCCTTGATTGACCATAACTTAATGATTAAGTTCAAAAGGTAAGGGAAAGTTAGGGAAGGACACTTATTTCCCCACTCCTCTTGTTTCCCTGTGGAGAGAGGGACTTCTCTTTGGTAACACCCATGGTCTCACTCTCCATCCATTGCTCCATTTTCCCCCCTGAGAAGGAGTGAGAAGCCTCATTATAGGTGATAGCAATTAGCCCAAGTTTCTTGACTGGCTTGGACTAATATATTAAAAGACAGTAAGCACTAGGGAATTGATTATTTTCTTCCCTCTTTGCCTCAAATCAGAGGGAGCAGCAGTAAATGTGATAAAGGTGTGCATTCTGCAGACTCAAACGTTCCGTTGGGTGGGCAATCTCATACCCAGAGACAGGGAGGCAGAACACAGTCCACACAAGTCCTGTCAGCTCTCAAACCTAAGCCGTGCTCCCCAGTGTGAACAGTGTTAGGATTGAAATCAGCCTTCCTGCTGCATCTCTCTCTCAATCGCTTCCAAATTTGGGTGGGGGAGATGGGCATTATTTTTTAGCCCCTTCAAACTCCAACATATTTTTCCCAATGTGCTTTCCCCAAATGTTTGATACCGAGCAATGGGCTCACTCTGCTCACCGTGATCTAAGCCAATTAGTCACAATGAGTTAGGGATGGAGAAAGGAAGTTTTAATTCGATTAGCCAGCATGATTGTGAAGACGGCAGACTAATGTCTCATAAAACCATCTTCAAAAATCGTGAGGTAGTTATATAGGGAAAATGGGCAGTAAGGCGGGGGTTTCCTTCAGGTATGACGGACTCCAGGGTCTGTTATTGTTCCATTCTTCTGTCAGCTGTGATGGATACCTTGTAGGTGTTTCCCACCTGTGGTCAGCCTGTTCCTGGAGAGAAACTCATAGAACAAAGTTTTAATTTATCAAGCTATAGGGGAGTACATATATAAGCAGAGGCCATAAATTAGGAGAGCATGTGAATTTTGTAGAGTACATGCAGAGCAGCGAGTAGTCACACAGAGGAGGGGCTGGGGCCATTTAGCGTAACAGGATGGCCTCACTTATGCTCACTTACGTGTTGTCAAAGATATTGATTGCGTCACATCACATTGAGTTTGGACGTGGTTGGGGTGGCAGAGAGCCCGAGCAATTCAAACTGCTTACAGGTCATCAATCTGACCCACACTTTCCTGGAACTCAGAGTCTAATGCCCTGGACCAGCCTCACCTATTTCCATACCTACCCCAGCTCCTAAAACAACAGCCTGGGCTGAACCTAGCCCCTACTTGTTCCAGCATAGTGACTGGAAATGTAACATGGGTTATCTACCCACGAGGAATGCCTTTTTGAGAATATACATCATTAAATCTGAGATGACATTTGACCATACTATAAGCAGCACGTGTGGAAACTATTCTTCCTGTTACACAGACTAATAGAGCCTTCGCATACCCCATTTAAATCTACAACTGAGTACCACAAGACGTGTATACACTGACCAGGAGCCCACAGCCAGGTACTCACATTTTAAAACAGCAGACCTAAAATTCCGCTAATTTTGACACATTTGTTCCAGCAAAATCTCTCCCTTAACTCTACTACTCTCTGTTACTAACCTAGATGTCCCTTCCTGGTACCACCAACAAATCTCCCTTGACTACATTTTTGGTAGCAAGGCAATAAATTTCTCCTTTTTCACTTCCTCTTCTCTTTCCCTATCCCCATCACTCCTCAACACACACACACACACACACACACACACACACACAATATCAGTATAGATTTTTGAGGGACTATGTAGCCTCTGTGCTTAGAAAATCATAGTCATATGATTTTGTCTTTTCCCAGAGTGGAGAGCTCCTTCACGGTTTTGGTGTCGGCTGACCATCCAGCCTTAGGCTGAACACCTCAGGCAGGAGTGAAGTCACTATTCTCAAAACAGCCATGCCATTTTCAGGTCTTGCTAATTGTGTATCCACCAGGGGCCTGACAGGAATGAGATGGTCAAAACTATCCACAATCAAAGTGGATAATTTGAGGAGAATTCAACAAGGGGCTACTTACCAAGGCATCAGCTCAGTGTAAGGAAACTACAGGGATAATGTGATGCCCCGGAGCTAATAAGCGCCCTCGGCCTGCAGGGCTGAAGGGAAGGAGGGGTTAGAGGAACGGTGACAGAGAGAGGAGCATGTGGCGCCAGCCGTGGGAACACCCAGGGAAGAAGCAGCTGGGGTGATAATAGAGCGCAGAACCTCACTCTCCCCTTGCCCTCTTGTGCCTTTAGTGCCTCCCATTGGCTAAAATCAACCCAAAGTCTGGGGTTAAGACAGGGCTGGGACTAGAGTGAGGCAAGAGAGGCGCCTAGGGCACAACAGCGAAGGAGGCACCTCCTGTTAGGGCCGTGAGTGAGCACCTCCTTTGGCGTCCTGCCCTACCTCCTCTAGCCTCACTCTAGTCCAAGCCTTGGGTTAGGAGAGCCCATTGATGTAATCTATAGAAAGGCCCCTCCCAGGGCACAGAGCTGGGTGGTGAGTAGATCTGAGGATCAATTGGAAGATATTCAGTACATACTGTCAGCAAGTTCTTCATTACAGGAGGTTAAAATTCTGTGGCTTCCACTGAACCCACTGGATCCACTGCACTTGATCCAGGAGCATTCCTTGACCAAGTTAGATTTCTTCTAAGTATAATTTTCAAAAATTTAAAATGCATGACTCGCATAGAAATGTAAAATGAACACATCAAAGATTTTATTCTACCTATTAATTAATGAGCAAAGAATAAGATGTTAAAACCAGTTCAAAAGAAAATATGAAGACAGATTTACATAGTCAAGTCAGCCAACAGAATGTTAAAGTGAATATGCTAATGAATGCAAAGCTGGTTAACATCCTATAGGGCAATAAATTTAAAACTTCAGGGTTATCTTTTCTACCAGAGCGAAATCAATTATACCCCTCAAATTTATTTGCATTGCTATGGACAAGATTCATTTGCATTACAATTGGATTTCTCCAAATCAACTTATTCTAAATAGACAGCTGATCAAAGGTGCACACCCCTATAGAATTAATTAATCCATCAAGGATCCATTTGACAATTCCGGCATTCCACTGGAAGGACATCCACTAATCATATTTCTTATTTCTACTATTGGATAATTTTTTAAAACATTTCTCCTCTGCCTGGAAACCATTCAGATATTTAAAGACCTCAGAGACATCTTATTTTTTTCCAGGAGTCAGGTGCCCAGGATTAGACACAGGTGTGCTACGAGCAGGAAGGTGTTTTATTTCAATTCCAAAGGGAGAATCAAAAC